GATAGATAGATAGATAGATAGATAGATAGATAGATAGATAGATAGATAGATAGATAGATAGATAGATAGATCTTTACCAGACTCCCGGCTCTTTGCGGGTCTGTTTGCGGGTCCAAAGCTCACGCACTTCCTCCTGCGCACGCGCGGCCAGCGCACGCGCACCTGCCTCTGCACCAGCTCCGTTTCCCGGGACACCGGCACGCGCCCCTCGCGGCCGCCGCGCACGCGGAAAAACCCGCAGAGCCGCGCGTGGAAGTCTTTAAAAGTCAAGCGGTCCGGTAACCCGGAGCAGACGTCTCTGAACTCCTCACTTAGTTCATCCTCCTCTCCCCTAAACTCCTGTCCGGTCTCCCGGTCCCCGGTAACTGTGAGACCCGTTTCCGGGCCCCTGGTCCCAATCCCGGTCCCGGTAGAACCCGTATCCCGGTCCCCGGTCCAGGGGAGACGGGTCTCGGTCCCGGTCCCGGTCCTAGAGAGACCCGTCTCCCACCCCCCGGTCCCGGTAGGACCCCTTTCCCCTCCCCGGTCCCCGGTCCCGGTCCCGTTGAGACACGTCTCCCCTTTCCGGCCCCCGGTAACCGTGAGACCCGTTTCCTGGCCCCAGGTCCCGGTCCCGGTCCCGGTTAGACCCGTCTCCCCGCTCCCGGTCCCAGCCCCGGTCCCGGTTACCCCCGCCCCCCCCCCCTGCCCCCCGGTCCAGGTCCCAGTCCCGGTCCCGTTCAGACCCGTCTCCCCTCTTTGCCCCCCGGTCCCGGTTAGACCCGTGTCCCGGTCCCTGGTCCCGGTAGGACCCGTCTCCCTCCTCCCGGTCCTCGTGAGACCCGTTTCCCCTCCCCAGGTCCCAGTCCCGGTCCCGGTTAGACCCATTTCCCGGTCCCCGGTAACTGTGAGACCCCTCTCGCCCCCATGCCCCCAGGTCCCGGTCCTCGTGAGACCCGTGTCCTGAACCCCGGTCCCAGTCCCGGTCCCGGTCTTGGAGAGACCCGTCTCCCCCGGGGGGGTCCCGGTTAGACCCGTCTCATGGCCCCTAGTCCCGGTAGGACCCATCTCCCCTTTCCGGTCCCCAGTCCCGGTCCCGGTCGCGGTAACACCCGTGTCCCGGTCCCCGGTAACTGTTAGACCCGTCTCCCGGCCCTGCCCCCCGGTCCTGGTACCGGTCTTGGAGAGACCCGTGTCCCTTCTTTGCCCCCCGGTCCCGGTTAGACCCGTCTCCCGGCCACAGGTCCCCGTTAGACCCGTGTCCCGGCCCCCGGTCCCAGTCCCGGTCCCGGTCAGACCCCTCTCCCCCCCATGCCCCCAAGTCCCGGTCCCGGTAAGACCCGTTTCCCAGGTCCCGGTCCCAGTCCCGGTCCTGATGAGACCCGTATCCCTCCTCCCGGTCCCGGGGACACACGTCCCGGTGAGACCCGTCTCCCAGGTCCCGGTCCCGGTCCCGGTAGGACTCCTCTCCCCCCCCTGCCCCCCGGTCCCGGTCCCGGTCCCGGTGATCCCCAGAAGCGCGCAGAGCGCGGCGAAGTCCTCGCGGGCCACCGTACCCCCCGGGTCCGGTAGGGCCAGGTGGTGGAAGACCTCCTGCAGGTACTGGTCCATTCCGGTGCCCAGAACCACCGCCGCGTTCTCCGCCGCGTGCCCGGGCGCGTGCCCGTGCGCGTGCTGGTGGTGGTGCGCGAGCGCGCTCCGGAGCCACGCGCCTTTACGCGCGGGGGCCATGAGATCCATGAGGGTTCCGCAAACCGAGATACCGGTGAATAAAAAACTCAAAACTGCACGTTAACGGCAGGAAATCCTCAGGAATACCCCGGATGGACCTGGTCTCGCGCGCATCCCCGTGCGCGTTAGTTATAGTTCCGGTTCTGGTTTGTTCCCAGATCTGCAGCGAGTCCCGGCGAGACTCCACCCTCTGGTGTGACTGTGTGTGTGTGTGTGTGTGTGTGTGTGTGTGTGTGCATGTGTCTGAGTCCCTGGAGCTTTCTTTTGGCTCCCAGAGGCGTACAGTGCGCGAGGAAGAGCTGGGATTGTTTGATCTCTGTCACAAAAGCGGATCGAATATCAGGCAGTGCGGAACCACAAACTAACCCGGGACACTGAGTCACTCCTCAGCTTAAAGGAACCTGGAGGTTGACGGTAAATGGCATTATCCCAAATCAAATCAGTTTCCAGGGAACAAAGACAGCTTCAAGAATTGGTTAACCCTATAATGCCAAATGTATCAACTTTATTTATCCCTTTATTTACTCTTTCAGGGAAATTCTGGTTCCAGTATCTTTTGAGGACTACAAGAGACAATATAGAGACAATATAGTCAATATAAAGAGAGTGTATATGGTACAAATGTTTATGTTTCCTTTAGATATAAATTTTCTGTACAGTGGATATATAGTTGTAGATAAATAGTGGTCTGGAGTTCTGCACACAGGAATTAGGAGCCGTCTTTTTCTAGAATGAAGCCTTTTTACCAGAGACAAACTGGACATACAACCATTAAAAAAAACTCAAAAGGACCCGTTCCACCTCTGGAGGACCCACTCTGTGAATCACACTGATAGGCTACAATTTAGTCTCCAGAAAACTAGTTTGCCAGTGACTCATCTGGGGTTTTGGGGGTTTTTTTGGGTTTGTTTATTCTATTGTTGAGAAGGTGTGTGAGTGTATTGTTTCACTCGGCTCACTTTAGGCCACAATTACTGCATTCCAACTCTCAAAGACAAAGTTTGTTTGTTTTTTAAGTGAAGAATATAACTGTGAAGAAGTCACCTGTCACCTGAGGCCTTCCTCAGACCTGTTGGAGCAGGTAGAGCCTCTCAGGTCCTCAGAATGATCCCTGGAAAGCTTTTTTCCTTCTTCCGAGCTAGGTTTTGTTCAGTTTTTTCTTTTTTGTTAAGAGACTTCCTGCTTTACTTTGTACCGTTTCTCCCACAACCGAATCTCCTCTTTACACAACAAGAAACTTCTAAAACTTAGCTCGGTAGCAAAAGTTACAATTTTTGTTGTGGACATAAACACACAGTTGAGCTGAACACGTATTTAAACCTATAATGCCAAATGTATCATATTTGATTAATACGGTTTCTGAAATGTTTTGCGTCTGACTCCTTTTGCATAATTTAATGGTAAAAACTTTGCTCAAAATCCTATTGTACACAATCAGATACACCTGATAACAGGGGGCAGAAGACTACACAAAAAATAATCTGGACTTATCGCATAGTAATAAATTACTAATATTAAACATGTATTTCTGTTTTTTCTTTTTACATATTTTGTTAAAAGGCCAAATAAGGAATTCAAACCAAAAAAAGTAATTTTCTGTTTTGTTTTATTCTTGGATCAGGCTTTAAAGGGTTAAAAAGGAGTCCACAAAAGCCTCTGAGTCCTGGTATGATGGTGGATTGTTAATGTTCATACACAGGTTGTAGACATCAGCCCTCAATGGATTTTCATTATTTGGAGGCTATCTTTCAGTCAGGATAGTTTCTGTTTTGTATAAAATAGCTGAGGGGTAACATTTTAATATTTCAGTTCCAGTATGATCTGCAAAGTTGTTTCGTACTAATGTGAGTCGAGGATTCTTCGAGACCAATTCAAAAGAGAATACGTCAAATCATTTAAAATGTGTCAAAGAAGATTAAAAGAAAACTGCTTTTTTTTTTTTTTTAAAGCAACCGAATCTCCTGTTTACACAACAAGAAACTTCTAAAACAAAAGTAGCAAAAGTTACCATTTTTGTTGTGGACATAGTTGAGCTGAAAACGCATTTAACCCTATAATGCCAAATGTGTCATGTCTGATCCGGTTTCTTTTGGATCTGAGACTTTTTGCATCATTCAGTGGTAAAAGCTTTGCTCAAACCCCTGTTGTACACATTCAGATATACCTGATAACAGCCAGTAGAAGACTACACCAACATATATTTTTGACTTATTGCACGCTAATTTGATCAAAATAATTTCTGTTTTTTTTTATTCATATGTTGTTGAGGGGCCAAAGAAAGACTTCAGACTAAAAAAATCCCAAATTCTTCCTATTTTTCTTGGATCAGGCTTTAAAGGGTTAAAATGCCCACACATGAGGAGCCGTTATGATGGTGGATTGTTAACATTCATCCACACTTAGCAGGTTGTAGACATCAGCCCTCCCTGGAGTTTTCTCCCCTCTGGAACTAAAGTTGTTGTTTCCCCATTAGAGACGAGTCCAAAAGCCCAAGAGCTTAGGGGAATCGCGTAATGGCTGTTTTGCCACGCACAAATGCCACAGGTAACTCATTTGTGTGCGTCTTTGTGCGTCTTTGTGTGTAAAGTGCGTCTCACAAAGAGGGCAGTCCTCCAGCTGCCGCCTGCTCCAGGAGAAAGGGCCCGATGTGGAAATGACAGGAGGGGAAACAAGAGGAGGGGCTGTAAAACCAGGGGTGTGTGTGTGTGTGTGTGTTTGTGTGTGTGTGTGTGTGTGTGTGTGTTTGCGTCCTGATGTTGAGGTTTTGTTCAGGCTCTGTGTTGTGTTGCCATATGCTCGTCCGAGGGGTCAACAGGAAGACAAATGAAAGGACACACCCCCCTCCCACACAGATCAAAACCTTTACACTTTCTAATCATCTCCTCTCAGTCGGGACTCTGGCTAATATGCTGAGCCCTAAACATCTAAACCCCTAAACATCTAAACCCCTAAACATCTAAACCTCTAAACAACTAAACATCTAAACCAATAAACATCTAAACATCTAAACATCTAAACCCCTAAACATCTAAACATCTAAACCCCTAAACATCTAAACCCCTAAAC